TATTACTGACACCTCCAACAACCACTCACACATACCTCCATCAACCAACACACACACCAACAACCACCCCACACAACCTCCAACAACCACACACCTCCAACAACCACCCCACACACCCTCCAACAACCACCCCACACACCTCCAAACAACCACCCCACACACCTCCAACAACCACCCCACACCTCCAACAACCCACACCTCCAACAACCACCCACACACACCTCCACCCACCACACACCTCTACCAACCACACATAACACACACACACCTCCAACAACCACTCCCACACACCTCCAACAACCACCCACACACACCTCCAGATCCACCCACACACACCTCCAACCACCCACACACCTCTCCAACCACCCCACACACACCCTCCAACAGCCATCCACACACACCTCCAACCACCCACACACACCTCCAAACCACTCCACACACACCTCCAACAAATCCACCCACACACCTCCAACAACCACCACACACACACACACTCCAAACACACACACACACCTCCAACAACACCAACCACCCACACACACACACACACACCTCCAACAACCAACCACTCCACACACACACACCTCCAACAACCACACCCACACACACCCTCCAACAACCACCCACACACACCTCCAACAACCACCACACACACCCTCCAACAACCACCCACACACACACACCCTCCAACAAACCACTCCACACACACCTCCAACAACCACCATTTCACACACACCTCCAACAACAACCCACACACACACACTCCAACAACCACACACACCTCCAACAACCAACCACCCACACACACCTCCAACAACCACACACCCACACACACCTCTGCAACAACCACACACACACACTCCAACAACCACCCACACACACACTCTCCCCACAACTACCTCACACACACACCCTCCAACAACCACCCACACACACCTCCAACAACCACCCACACACACACCCCAAACCCCACCCACACACACACCCCCAAACAACCACCCACACACACACCCTCCAACAACCACCACACACACCTCCAACAACCACCCCACACACCCTCCAACAACCACCCACACACACCTCCAACCTGACCACCCACACACACACACCTCTCCAACAACCACCCCACACACTGACCTCCAAGAACCACTCTACACACCTCCAACAACCACCTGCCACACACCTCCAACCCACCACCCACACACACACCTCCAACAACCACCTACTATTGACACCTTCCAACAACCACCCACACACACACCTCCAACAACCACCCACACACACACCTCCACCAACCACCCACACACACACCTCCAAACTCCAACCACCCACACACACACCCTCCAACAACCACCCACACACACACCTCCACCAACCACCCACACACACACCTCCCCAACCACATGACACCTCCAACAACCACACACACCTCCAACAACCACCCACACACACACACCACCCTCCAACAACCACCACACACACACCTCCACAATCTCACACACCATGGCCACCTCCAACAAAACCACCCACACCCTCCAACAACCACCCACACACACAGACCCGTCCACACACACCTCCAACAACCACCCACACACACCTCCACACCCCACACACACCCTCCAACAACCACCACACACACACCCCAACAACCACCCACACACACCCCAACAACCACCCACACACACACACACCTCCAAACCACACACCTTCAAACAACCACACACACCCCAACCACACACACATACCTCCAACAACCACCCACACACACCCTTTCAACAACCACCCACACACATACCTCCACAACCACCCACACACACACACACACACACACCCTCCAACAACCACCCACACACACACACACACACACCTTCCAACAACCACCCACACACACCCTCCAACAACCACCCACACACACACACACCCTCCAACAGAACTCACTCCACACACACCTCCAGCCCAAACTTTCACCCACACACACACACCTCCAACCACCCACACACACACCTCCAACAACCACCACACACACACCTCCAACAACCACCCACACACACACCTCCAACAACCACCCACACACACCTCCAACAACCACACACACACACCTCCAACAACTACCTACACACACACCCTCCAACAACCACCCACACACACACTCCACAACCACCCACACACACACCCTCCAAATCAACCACCACACCCCTCCAACAACCACCACACACACAGACCAACAACCACCCACACACACCTCCAACAACTCCACACACACTCCAACACCCACTGACACACACCCTCCAGCCCAACCACCCACACACACCTCCAACAACCACTCCACACACACACCTCCAACAACCACTGACACACACCTCCAACAACCACTGACACACACCTCCAACAACCACCTGCCACACCTCTGGAATAAATTCACGACATACCTCCAACAACCACCCACACACACCCTTTCAATGCCCACACACACTCCCCCACCACCCACTAACACCTCCAACAACCCACCCACACACACCTCCACCAAACCACCCCACACACCTCCAAACACCCCACACACCTCCAACAACCACCCACACACCTCCACCAACCACACACACCTCCAAACCACCACACACCTCCTCCAACAACCACCCACACACACCCAACAACCACTCCCACACATCAATCTCCAAACTCCCACACTTCAACAACCACCTGCCCACACACCTCCAACAACTAACCCACACACCCTCCAACAACCACCCACACACACCCTCCAACAACCACCCACACACACACAACCTCCAGTCAACCACCCACACACACACCTCTCCCAACAACCACCCACACACACACCTCCAACAACCACCCAGCCACACACCTCCAAACCACCCCACACACACACACCTCCCACCCACACACACACACCCTCCCACAACCACCCACACACACACCCTCTCCAACAACCACCCACACACACACCTCCTCCAACAAACCCACCCACACACCACCCTCCCTGCTAAACCATCCACCCACCTGCACACACACCTTCCACCAACCACCCACACACCTCCAACAACAACCCCAACATCACCCACGCACCCCAACATCACCCACGCACCCCACCCACCACCCCAACACCCCACGCACCCCAACCACCCACACACCCCAACACCCACACACCCCAACATCACCCACACACCCCATCACCCACACACCCCAACACCCACACACCCACACACCCCAACACCCACACACCCCAACACCCACACACCTCCAACACCCACACACCCAAACACCCACACACTCCAAACACCCACACACCTCCAACATCACCCACACACCTCCAACATCACCCACACACCTCCAACATCACCCACACACCCTCCAACATCACCCACACACTCCAACATCACCCACACACCTAACACCCACACACCCCAACACTCACCCACACACCTCCAACATCACCCACACACCCTCCAACATCACCCACACACTCCAACACTCCACACACCTCCAACACTCCACACACCTCCAACACACCCACACACCTCCAACATCACCACACACCTCCAACATCACCCACACACCTCCAACACACCCACACACCTCCAACACCCACACACCTCCAACATCACCCACACCTCCAACATCACCCACACACCTCCAACATCACCCACACACCTCCAACATCACCCACACACCCTCCAACATCACCCACACACCCTCCAACATCACCCACACACACCTCCACACATCACCCACACACCCTCCAACATCACCCACACACCTCCAACATCACCCACACACCTCCACCCACACACTCCAACATCACCCACACACCCCAACACCCACACACACCCCACCCACACCCACCATCACCCACACCCCACCCACACATCCCCAACACCCACACATCCCCAACACCCACACACTCCAACATCACCCACACACACCCTCAACATCACCCACACACACCCCAACATCACCCAACACCCAACACACCCACACACCCCAACACCCACACACACCCCACAACACACCCACACCTCCAACACACCCACACACCCCACATCACCCACAACCCCAACATCACACACCCCAAATCCCCACACCCACACCCCACATCACCCACACCCAAACATCACCACACACCCCAACACCCACACACCCCAACACCCACACACCCCAACATCACCCACACACACACCCCAACATCACCCACACACCCCAATCACCCACACACCCCAACATCACCCACACCCCCAACATCACCCACACATCCCCAACATCACCCACACACCCCAACACCCCACACACACCCAAACACCCACACACACACACCCCCAACATCACCCACACACCCAACATCACCCACACACCCCAACACCCACACCACAACATCACCCACACCCTCCAACATCACCCACACACCCCAGCATCACCCACACACCCCAACACCCACACCCTCCAACATCACCCACACACCCCAGCATCACCCACACCCCCCAACATCACCCACACACCCCAACATCACCCACACACCCCAACATCACCCACACACCCCAACATCACCCACAACCCTCCAACATCTCCCCAACATCACCCACACACCCACACAGAATCCTTTTTATGATCAGTCACAAGCAGTCCCTATTTCCACCTTCATCACAAAGTTAAGGACCGGAAGAATTGTGAATGACCTAAATAAATGCCTGGATGATAGAATCACTGAATACATTTTCAGATAAAATCTCCAAGGTCCTGTGATCCCTGGAACATGTAAAGTTTAGGAACAAACTGAAGCTAACAAATACTGAATATAAACTCTGTGACTGATTAAAAAATTAACTTCAGGATGAACCTCTAGTAGTTTGAGACAACAAAGTACAATTTATGAAGTTAAAGTGTATTGCTCTTGATTTTAAGTATCATGTGCCATATCAGGAAAAAAGCTTGTGAAGTTTAATGAAAGACAGATCCAACGGTTCCTAACATTTATTTTTCCTCACTAGGTGTGGCAATGTTCATTTATAAGGACCCGAAGGGAGCATCGCCTGCAGGTGGTGTAGGTATTGGGCTAGGAGAGGTTCTTTTGGTGAGTAATGGCTGGATATTACCGTTTTTTCTTACTACAGTACAGCGTTTCATTTTTACATTGTCTGAAAGGCCAGAAAAAAAGGGGGGGGGGTGTGTGTGTGTGGAATTTGAAAGTTAATTTTCTTCCAAATGTGATTAAGGGGTGTTTGATATGGTTAAATAGTAGTATCATTTTCATTTAATAAAGCACAGTAGAGCCCTGGCTCAGGTAAATGATCAGCAGTACCCCTGTAAAATGATCATCTACTGTATATATGTACACATTTGATTTAGAACCATGTAAATTGATACAATACTGTGTTATTATGCAGCTGTTGTCACTGACAATGGATGGGCTTACAGGAGCAGTGCAAGAACGTATGATTAGCGAGTCGAAGACGAAGTCTGGACACATGATGCTGAACATGAACCTCTACTCTATTGGCTACTTAGCTGTTGGTATGTACTAAACTCTACGTCCAGGAGGATGTTATAAATTTAAGAATATATTAGAGCAAGGGCTTACATAAACATTTCTTTATTGACTAGCATTAGGAAACAAATTTGCAGTCTTAATATTAAATTTTCTGTAATATTAAAGGACACACACACACGCACGCACATATTTTCATTTTGTCATAAATTACTGTGCGTATTGATAGCAAGGTCTTCAAAGATAAGGTACCATTTTGAACTTTGTACTGGATACAACTTTTATCTCAATGTAGACAAAGAATTAAGCAAAGAAAAGGTTAGTTTGATAAGTCAAGGGAATTTATTACACAACCTCTCCCATATATTGTCAAATGTCTTAAATTTGTATTTTATGGTTATGAGTTTCAAAAAGTGTACTTGTTACATAATGTTTTTAATGCCACTGCCATCAACAGCTCTCCTGGTGACTGGGGAGATCTTCACTTTTGCCAGTTTTGTTCACCGCTACCCAGAAGTTCTCACAAAAATGCTAATCTTCAGCATCTGTAGTGCACTTGGCCAAGTAAGTGTTTACTTTACTGTATTTCCTAAATTTTTTAATGCAGGTTTTGAATGGCATTTGACATCTGCTGTTAGTGTTTATTTATTTATTGTTTGGGATGAATTAAAAATTTTAATATTGCCAATCATTCGAAAGTGGAATGGAGATCCTTCTTATCCTTGTATCATAAGATTGAGCTAAAATGGACAGGTTACAATTTGGTATTTCATTCATGAACATTTATAAACAGGAAATTGATGTTCTAAATATGTGTCAAATTAGGAATTGCTCGTGACAAGTCTCAAATGATTTCTTGGCTGACAGAATAATCTGCAAATAAATGAAAGTTCCCTCGTCATATTGAAGAATTTGGTTGATATGGCAGCAAACACAGGAAATGAATACAGGCAGTCCCCAGGTTATGTACGAGTTCCATTCCTACGGACTCTGGTCGTTGCTGGGTCGCTAACGAAACTGCCGTGTGCCAAGTCTTCACAGTCTACGTATATATGGAGATCTTGTATGATGACACCGGAACTTCGTAATTCACGCTGACGACACAACAAAACTGTTCAGCTGCTAGTGAAATACCAATTGTTAGTCCAGGTTATGAAACCTTTCTTCAACACTGCAACACTGTAACTAGAAAATGCTGAGTGGGGTCTACTTCAACCGGCTCAATCTGGATATGTAATATACAGGCTGTAATATATGTATATTACGAATTCTGCACGTATTTGTATGTGACAGAGATAAGGAACACTCACTCAATATCGTCTCAATACGGGATATAGTTTTAAACACTCGGATTATGTAACGCGTCACTGCTGTGTGTTTTCAGTTTTTCTCAAGACACAGACGGTTGATATGACTACCAGTTTGAAGAATCCGTACACACCGCTGCCACCTATATGAATCGGCTGCTTGTGCAATTAACCAGGCCGTTCACCTATATTTATATTTGGGTTTTAAGTAACGAAACCCAAACGGTAGTTCCTTTGTTTTATTATAAAAGGGTTGTATATATATTTCCTAAGTGATAGATCAACCGTAAGTCTCACTGTCTAGGAATGAATGAGAAAGGGACGGCATTTATGTATTATAAACGTTAGGTCACGTCCTTACGATATAAGTTGATGTGAGCGACTGACTGTGAGGACCTCGCTGTGCGGGTTTACAGAAATGCTGACTTATGGGTCTCGCCCTCTTGGGAGAGTTGCCCGCTCACATGTCCAACTCATGTCTTACTCATAGACAGTGGAAAGTTACAGGGGGTGAATCTGAATATGATATCAGATGTATTGACCCATTTATACAATATGTTCTGTTGATGAGACAGGGGCCTATTACATTAGGTTGAAGATGTACGTAAGTCAAACCATATACCCTATGTTTAAAATCCCACTATATCATAGCCTTAGTCCTCATATACATTTAAAATCACTCAGTTTAAGAGAAAAGAAGAAATAAATGACAAAATACAGTAAATGCAAGTAAAAATTAAGTCATCAGGTAAATAAAATACTGTAAATTTAAAGTTTAACACTTAAATTGAAACCTGGAGCTGGCTTCTCTCTTTTTCCTGAATCGAGGCTAGGCTTACAGGCATATATTGCTGATTATGAGCTTCCACCCATATCATTAACAATCTTTCCATTTCAATTATCAATTCACTTCTTTGTTTTGTTATCACAGTTGACTGCATTGGTGTTGATCTTTTGACATGTTCAAGAAGTTCCTTTTTTTTTCAAAATTTTTCTGATCAATGACTGACTGAAGCCCAATGCTCTACCAATGACTAATGGTGATTCACTTCTTTCAGAAGGTTTAATTACATCTACTTTCACTTTCATTGTAAATCTCTTGCATCAGATTTGCATTTGGGAGTCATGATGAGGGCAGAAAAATAGTTAATAAGCCAAAAATATAACACTGCTCTTGGTCAAACATGTTATTGAGATAAGTGTACAGTAATGCATACTGACTACCCCAAGGTGCATGGCTGGGTGACGCTCCACTCCTAACCCGCCTTGCCGCTCTGCCTTGCAAACTAGCTCTCGTACATTACTATGAACTGTTGCACTTATGTCGGATTCTTAAAACGATATTCTTTTTGGGGACTTCGTTCGTGTCGGCAGATGTTCATAAGTCACACGTACGTAACCTGAGGACCTCCTGTAATCTAATACTGAGGACATCGTGGCTTGGTGAAAATGCCTTAAAACATAATTAAATAAATTCAGATGAAAGTACTGTATAGTTATCTGCTAGAATACAAAGTGAACTGATGCAGTATTTACCGTATTTTTCGGCTTAAAAGACGCACTTTTTATGACAAAAATATACCTCGAAAATTACCATGCGTCTTCCAGGATGCTAGTCGATGAGTTGTAGCAGAGGTTTTTGAAATCAGCCCCTTACAAAGACTGTTACCTCATTACAGTACTTAACAATTACAAGTGTTCTCTATACAGTACTATAAAACTATTGATTTAACTAATATTGTTGATATATTGCAAAAAAAAAAAAAACCCTTGCTGCTGTGTGGTTTGTTTACTAATGGCAGTGGTGCAGCAGTGCCATCTATTGAGGAATTGCTAAAGGTTGTCTGCTGGTCTCAAATGCAGGAATGTTGTTTCTTTATATGCAGGCTCTCATATTTGGATGCCTATTTACAGTAGGCTCTCATATTTGGATACCCATTTAGACTGTAAAATCCCACAAAATTAAAATCTTCCAAATTTAAATACACCTTTGTCATCCAAGTAAAAACACACACACAACAACAACATTGGCTGTCCTTGTGTTTTCAACTTTATTACCACTGGTGGATAGATATTTTTTTTTAATTCAGAAACATTAATTAAAATATATATGAACAGTAAATAAGTGTTGCTTTCATATTCTTATGTAGAGTAATGATATGTTTACACACGTGCTCACTTACATACACGATCTCACTTTTTTTTTACCCTTAATTGTTAGCTACTTCCATTGTTCCATTTATTAACATTAAATAACATTACTTAAAACAACCATATTAATTTTTTTACATTAATTTTAATACAGCTACAATGGAGGACTTATTTTCTTCAGTTTTATAATTATGTAGAACCAATCAGTCACTGGTTTTGCAAAAAACGAGTTGTTTTTTTACTTTTATTTTGTTTTTAAACAAAGATTTTTTGTTTTATATAGAAGTTGATATACGTACATGTTTACATTTGCTTACCTTCTACTGTTGGAAAATATTTCCCGTCGTTGTCATACCGACAAAAACAAGAGAAAGAATGTAAACACTACAGCCCCTAAGATGTGGAGGTGACCAGGTGTATAAAATGAGTGCTGTATTAAAGATTTAACCTTCTTATACAGATTTTTTTTTAAATTGATGAAAATGACGACTGATAATCAGTTCTAAGTGATCATATTCAAAGAGGTGTGTGTACTTGTGCCAAAAGGGCTGTATAATTATCAAGTAACGGTTTTACTGGTGGTTTCACTGGTGTTGGTAGTAGGGAGGTACCGGGTACTACTGCCTGGGAAGATATTGTTAGACCCTGCTGCCATATGGCATCACGAAAATTGTGACCAAGTCCCAGGTTGCTGATCTGACTTTCTGCCACATTTACACACAATTGCAGGTCTCAATTGTTTCTCTTACTTTGACAACACAACATACTGTACATATATTGTTTCTCACTCTTGATTTTTGTTTTTTTGTATTTATTATTATTATTATTATTATTATTATTATTTTTATTATTTTTATTATTATTATTACTATTATTATTACTATTATTATTACATTTTTGCCCCCTAGGCCCCAATGTGGGTCAGTGACCTGTGCCCAGGTGGGCTAATACCTGAAGAAAAAAATTTAGAATTTCATTTCCAAAATCAGGGTGCGTCTTCCACGATGCAATGTCTTCTAAGCCGAAAAATACGGCAGTACTGTACCTTAATGATAAACTCTTGTAGTGTGGATTTTAAGGAAAAAACAGGCAGAGGAAGCATAAATGAATTTTGGAAATATGAAGATAGAGTTCAGCCATGGTATGTCTAATGGCAAAAAGCCAAAGAAGAATGTAGAGATGAAAGATGGAAGATTTCTCGCTGCTAAAAATTTGTTCTCTCTGGCTAAAGGGTTGTTGATTGTTCTGAAAATCAATAAGATAGGAGTTGGAACATACTTGGGGGAGAGATTAATATCCATGGTCTTGGTATAGTACATGGTTAGCAGCAGCAATTTTGGAGACTAAAAAAGGTCTGGAGGCCACTGTAATCAGGAAAGCTGAAGTAAACATTGTTACCAGCTTTGGAATTAGCTTACTTCCTCCAATAAAGATTACCCTTCAAAGCATCATTGATAAAGATAATGAAGAGAAGTCCCATCCATGTTCATGGGAGATGATGCAGGTGAGGAATTGAACGTAGGATATTGACCCACAAGCAAACAACTTGACAGATTTCACAGAGGTCTGTAAGCTATGGAATGAGGCATCCCTAGATCCCCAGGTTCAGTTCTTTGTTGATGATTATGGTATAGGTGACTACGTCAAATGCTTTGTTGAAGCTGTGGAGGTGCGAGACACAGAGGTTATTAATTTTTCTTGATTGCATTAAAATAAAATTTAGGAATTTGACAAGGAGCCTTCAATATAGCTAAACTGCTAATGGTCTATGGAGCCCACAATCTCTATATGAACTCAGTTAAATACATTATCTTTGCAGATTAGGCTGACAACAAAGGGTTGTAACTTGATGACTCGGGTACTGTATCAAAAAATGTGCAGCATTTTGCACTTGTGAAAGAAACCATGATAATGGAGTAGAGAAGTTTAACTAGTTCCTGGAGAACATCTTGTAGCATGAAGTAAGAGTAGTTAGTGTTAAATAGTAGTACTGTATAATCTGGTTACCTCAAATTCTTGCACAATATCAGGTGAGGAGCCTGAAAGTTGTTGCTTGGTTGTATGAAGCAACAAGGGTTAACCAGGTAGGAATTTGGAAGGGAAACACTATACTGGAACACAACTGTTGCAATAGTTAAGAGACTTATGTTAGCAAGTGATGGAAGAGTCTATGTATCTTTTGAATCCTGCCACCCTGCTTTTTCAGGAATGTTCTTGCCAGGATTAAAAATGAAAATAATTTAATTGAGTACAAAGTTTTTTTTTTTTAAATATTACCTTAACTCTGCATTCATATACTGTATAACCTGTTCATTTGTATAAATGAAAGTTTTCTAACTACAGCTGTCCTTTTTTTTTCAGTTTTTCATATTCTTAATGGTGAGTGACTTTGGGCCTCTGCCATGCTCAGTGGTGACAACAACTCGTAAATTCTTCACTGTGCTGGGGTCAGTTATTCTCTTTGGTAACACGCTCTTGCCTCGACAGTGGGCAGGGACTGCCTTTGTATTTTCAGGTATGTAGTTGTATGAATTGTTTACAGTATTACAGATACTATGTACAGTGCCTGCACAGTGCAATGCCTTTTATCCAAATTCCAACTCTCTGAATCTTCCAGGTATTTAAACTTCGTTGTCTTTGGTCCTGTCTGATAAAAATTCTAATTTAGTCCTATAATCCAAATGCAACCGAAGAGTTCAGGTGTCTGCCACCAGTAGCACTGTAACTGCTTTGTTTATAAATGTGTTTGGCTTTTTGGTTGGTGGAAGGTGTTGGCTTTAATTTCATGCCATAATAAACAGTAAAATAGATACAGACACCTCAATATAAACAATGAGAGGAGGGGAGAAGGATAAGCTTCCACTGGCAGTCACAGACTCACGGGGTGGGCCAGTCAAAGACGTGTGCTGGACGTGTGTGTCTTACCAACACTGTCTCACAGACAGGAACTGGACTTGTGAGTAAACTTTACAAACACATATTTTATTTTTTAATATAACATCAATTAATCACATAAATTCTAATTCAGTTAAATTTATTTTAAAAATATGTTTTCTTCGATTACAGTTCAATTCCAATATATGCATTTTACCAATTAATTTCAATTCAACTCGTAATTGACTTCATGTTTGGTATGCCGTGGTCACATTTGGGGGAGGGAGAGTGGGCTGCCTCCACGAGTCCATGCATGTGTTCACTTCCCACACACACTGTACACACCCATGCTCTTCATTTTTCTTATTTTATAGTTTTATATTATATATTCTTTATTTTTATGCCACATTGGAGTGTTGTAATGATTATTTCACAACTTTTACAGTTTCATTACATGTAACAGTGGCATCATGCCATCTCACAGGCCACCTCATCCCAATTTTTTTTCCATTTCTCCGAGTCAAATTATCGCTAAACCGAATTTTGACCCGTCGTTAATTATTGCAGGTTCTTGTAGGCACATCCAATTATCTGAGCCATCATTGGTTCCAATGAGTTTGGATTAAAGGAATTACACTGTAATTCTTTGTCCATAGTCATGGGCTGTTACCAGAGTTTCATTTATTTGAATCTTGGCACTTGTTGTTAAGAGAATGTTAGGGGATGGATTTTAGTATTTTAAACCTGTTCACCTTGTAGTTAACCTCTGTGAACATTCCCCTACCAGTGTCTTTTTTCACCCCAAAAATGGTACTCTGTATTTTGAAATTTCTCCATTTTATTACTTTTTTTTTATGAAGATCACAGTTTCTATGTCTAATATTAAGATTTGTTAACCTTTAATGAGCAGCAGGATTTTTGAGACATATTTTGGGTGCACCTGTGGCTTTGTTGTTGTCTGGTTACTATGACGACGCTGGCAGCTTGCTCCACAGCCGGAAAAACATGTACTCCCAGTTCAACTCATGATTTCTCCAAGAAATTATTATTTATTTGTATTTATAGACTAAATGTGAAAATGTAGAAAATTGATTCACCTCTATAATGATGGAAAATAAGTGAAATGTCTCAATTAGAGCGTGTCCTACATGTATTTTTTAATGTTCTATATTTTTTTATGGGGAACAGCCCACCCAGGCACAGGTCATCGACACACAACAGGGCCTAGGGGGCGAGAAAGTAAGAGTAAAAAGAAATAAAAATAGAAGAAAAAAATTATTAATCTACACAACGAAGATGCCAGAAAACCAGCTTTTTGAAGTGAGACAGATTGTATAAGTGTGGAAACACAGAAGGAGGCAGAGCATTCCACAGCTTGGCTGTGTGAGGAAAGAAGGATGTACTGTAACTGGTTGTTCTAGTGTGACCGACATCCACAGAGAAATGGTGGGCACCGCTGGCAAGACGTGTGTTACGAGCCCATGACCTTGCCAGCGGTACACAGAATGCGAAATTCACAGAACATTGCCCTTTAAAGTACCTGTAAAAGAGAGAGTGAAGCATCATTGTGGCAAAGAGAAAGGGAAGAGAGATTACGAACTAAAGGAGGAGAGTCAATGAGACACAATGCCTTTGATTCCACCCTATCTAACAGTTGTACAGAAGAAGTGCCACCCCAGATATGAGAGCAGTACTCCTAGTTAGGACGAGTAAATCCCCTATAAACTTGAAGCAACTGCTCAGGAGTGAAGTAGCTATGGCATCTGTACAGCATTCCCAACTTTCGGGAGGCAGCTTTAGCAATGTTGAGGATGTGTGGCTTCCATGACATATTAGAGGAAATGGTGAGACCTAGTATATCTATTTTAGAATTTGGCAGAATGATACCGTCCTGAAATGTGATTGGTGGGAGATCATCTAATTTGGATAGTGTAATTGGTAAATACTGAGTTTTATTACTATTGAATTTAACCAAGTTTCTACCTCCCCATTCGGAGATGCTGCACAGATCCACATTGATAGAAGTAATGATATCAGCTCTAGAAACAGATCTAGTTTGAGAATTAGGAGGAAGGGAAAAATGTGAAGTAGAGTGAAGCGTAGAATTATCAGCGTAAGAATGGATAGAATTAGCCTTAGTGTGAAGTAAATCATTGATAAAAAGAAGGAAGAGAGTAGGTGAAAGATCAGAACCCTGTGGAACACCTCTATTGGAAGAGAAAGAGCGAGAGATCGATCCCTCGACATCAACTGCCATGGATCGGTTCTCAAGGAAACTAGAAATTGGAGAACAAAATGGGGGAGAGAAGCAAAAACTTGTGTCATACCCTGTCAAAGAGAGGATGACCAAAGATGGGTGCAGTAGGAGAGCAGATCACCAGTAGATCTCGCCTGGCAAAAACCATACTGGTGATCTTACAAAAGAGAATGGCATTCAAGGTGACGGAGAAAATGAGAGTTCAAGATAGTTTAAAAAATCATAGAGAGGGATGAAGTTAGGGCAATGTGGCGAGAGTTAGAGGGATGGGCTGAACCAAGACATGCTTCCAAGAAGAAGGAAAAGTTTGGGTTTTGAGGCAAAGGCAAAAGAAGTGAGCAAGCACAGGGGCCAGAATTTCAGAACACGAAGGGGCATTCTGTCTGGTCCATGCGCCTTACTCACATCTAACCTGGATAACACACCAACAACCCTCCGAGTGGAGATTATAGGAAAGTGCATAGGTTCAGTAGGAGGAGCAGGAGTAGGAGGGATGGAGTTAGAATCGTCTAAGGTGGAGTTAGAGGAGAATAAGGTGCCAAAGAGATTGGCTTTATCAGGGGGAGAGTTGGCTATAGAGTTATCAGGTTGGAAGAGAGGAGGAAAAGAGGGAGGGCAGAAGTTATTACAGATGTTTTGGTTAAGGACCTGAAGAGTTTACTAGAGGAAGAATTAGTCAGGACAGCGGTCCCTCTTTTTAGAATTCCGCTTGGTCGTTTGAAGAATAGCCTTACAACGATTCCTAGAAGTAATGAAAGAGGGGTGGGTAACAGGAGGAGATAGTTTCATAACTTGATAAACCCTATCTCTCACCCTACATGCAAGAGAACAGGAGCGATCAAACCATGATTGTAAAGTGAAAGTTTTGGTAGAAGATATGATAAATGCACTCATACCATCCCGTATAAGACCCCAGCAATGCTGTCAGCACATACCGAGGCATCCCAAGTGGAAAAGCAATATTCATCCCAAGGAAATTCGAAGAAGAATTCTTGCAAGGATTGCCAGTTTGCCCTCTGATAGTGCCATAGTTGACGTCTAGAGGGGGGTGGGCGAGGTGGTCGTGCCCAGTTTGATTTAATAGAAATAAGATTGTGATTAGAAGACCCTAAGGGGGGCAGAAATTGAGTTTGAATAGTGTGAGGGGTTAGAGGTAAAACAAAGATCAAGAATGTTAGTAAGTTGATCGTGTCGCTCAAGACCACGTGTAGGGTGTTTAATTATTTGTTCCAGATCATTAGGTAAGGAAAAAGAGAGTGCCTCAGCTCCACCTGGGTCATCCCTTGCAGAGCCAAGCTACACTCTGTGATGATGTACAATGAAAGACAAAAGTCGTGTTGTGAAATTTGGTAAAAAACATATGCCGAAGTGCTAAACTGTTGGTCTTGGGGTAGGGCTCTCATAATGTTTCACGAGTTATATTTAATCTTTGGACAAAACTGCGACACGACTTTTGTCTTTGATTGTACATTGAAATCATCTAGGTAGAGGATCACGGTGTTGGGGTGTGTGGATAGCAACGACTTATGGCAAGAAGTGAGATAGTCAAGAGTTCCAAATAGTTGGTAGAGTTGGGAGAACAGTAAAGGAAACAAAGGAAAATAGTCATAGTTGGTAGAGACATTTGAACAAGATTATCTTATGTGATTTACTCTCTTTTCTGTATAGCTAAATATTTCATGTCCTGGGTGGACAGCGCACATAAGTATACCTACCAGTAAAGGGTTAAGAAGAATTCTGCCTATAATTTTTATTAAATTTTTTTAATTTAAAATTTTTTAAACATACAGGTAAACCTTAATTTAAGATATCCCAATCTATGATAAGTCGCATTAACGATGCTGATATATTAAGACCACTTCCCTATTTTTTATGTAAAAAAACTCACCTTAACGATATTCGTCATCCCACCAACTTGCCAAGTCAGCATATGGAAAGCATCACTCGCTTCATTTATCAGCTGTGACATCATCTACCCTAACACTGCCTCGTGGCCATCTGGTGAACTACAGTCCAAGCATTGTTTCTTCTTGGTTACATGTGTTTAAGAAATGGAACTCAAGGTTTATTGGTCTTCATTGGTGTTGTTTTATTTTTTTTATAAAAGAATTTAGTTCCCATCATTATTTTGTGTTGAAATATTTTGTTTAAGAATATTTTATTGCGGAAGTCTGGTCGAGAATTTATTCAGGATCATTATTGAATCAAATTCGTCTCTCTAACACAATTAGAACAGATGCTGTGAGGTAAAGAGGAAGGGAGAAGGGGAAGCGACCATTGGTGTCATCTCCAACCTAGTGCTATAACCCCGACTCCTACCTCTCTCACTTTTTCTACTACTGTGTTACTCATGATACAATATGGTTTATTTGCTATTCATTATT